TGAGAAATTCAGTAAATCTGAAAAATGTTTACAATCCCATGTTTATTTTCGCAATCTAAACCGTCCCGATATGCTCCAATCTTACTTTATACTCAATATAATTTGTTCCATATGAGATAAATATGATAAATACGATAAATATGTTTGTGAATTTCAAAACTATTGCTACCATTTGCCAAGAACTTAACAACGTATCGATTGAAACAAACTTTGGATACTATTGACTGGCTTCAAGTATCGATAGATTTGGAGTCTATCTAGCGGACAAGATGTGAGCAAATCCAAAGTAACGAATTGTTAGTCATTGGTACCTACCAGCCAGACGCAAGGCGGACATCCGTTGGAATTCTGGTTCTTGAAGCCATTTCCACATCCGACGAAATGTTTCTCGACCGGATTTTAATTTGCTCCACGGTTTCGGGTTGCGAAGGAGATCTGACAAGGTACCTTGGCTGCGACAAAGTACGCGCTGAGCGAATACAGCTTGCGGTATACTGTATCTTTTCAGTTCCGCACTTATCCGTTGAGCAAGGACTTTAGTATTGATTTCCTCCATGTCCTGCATTGGGTGTTGCATAGGTCCGTGTCGTGCGGGCATGGAAGGTACCACATGTTGCATGGAAAGCTGTCCCTGGGCCAGGTGGGGTGGAACCAATTGCCCGTTCATCATGACCGGCCGACAAGGATGGGAGTTTATATGGGTTTGATTTTGCTGAATGGAATGCACTGTAGGAGTTGATAAGGTGCAGAATTTTCTTGTATCAGTGAACACATACATTTCAATTTTATAAGGGACTATTAAAATCTTTCAAGAGAGGAGTGACTAGGCGAATTTGTTCAAGTATAGGACGAAATATATCGATAGTTGAACCAAACTACATGCGTCACAAGTGCATCGTTCACAGACGAAAAGTGAATCGAGAAACATAATACGAATTTCCTCGGACAAGACTCACCATTGTTTGCGCTTCGTTCCCCCCCCCCTCCGCGCCTTACACACACACACACACACAAATAATTCTATCCAGCGTTAAAGTGTCACCTGTTCACATAATTTTACCTATATAATAAGTCGAAAAGACCAAACAAGTATTGACCTTTTGGGTCTATTCGGTAGAACTGATATTCGGTTTATCTAAATCGAATGGTGATTCAATCTTCACTCTATCTCTCGGAAAATCGTTCATTAGGAGAGCAGGTTAATTACGTTTACAGAAGGATTATCAAGATATCCAAAACACCCTCGGTTTATTCATGACAAACAGGATGATATCTGTGCTAAATGTACTGACAACTTGAAAAAATCCAACGAAATTGAAAACAGTTGATATCTTTTCAAATGATCCATCAGATCGTTCTATTCCAAAATGGTGTTTGTTAGAAGTGCCCATCAAAGAATCCCTGATCATGAAAATATCAACGAATTGATGATGAGGTACTATATATAGTTCCGCACAAGAAGATGGTTCAATTACCATGAAATTTCTTCCGGCTAAACCTAGACAGCAACCCATTTTGCTAAACTATGGATCCACTATTGAAAAAACACAATCTTGTTGGTTGTATTCAACATGCAGAAAAAAGGCGAATAAAAAAGAAAAATGAAACGCCCTTCGATAAGCTCAAAGTCAATATGTAACATTCGTGAAAGAGTTGCACTCAGGGAACACGTCCATCACGATAATAAACCTGATCTGTTTATCTTCATCTGAAACCAAAACGTATTTACCAAATCAATGGGTGAAAACTAACTGCTACTTTCCCCTGTTTGAATGGTCTGTATCATTATGATAGTGAAGAAACAGCTAAAAAGTAATCTTAAGGAAAACTTCAATGATCACTGACGTACTCACAGTGTAAACATAAGAACCAAGAACATCTCTATGGACCAGTAAATATTATAATGGGTGGATATTTTTCCGCCAAGTGAAAAATAGTCAACCCACTTTGATCCTGAATTTCAATCGATCGCATTTTTAACTGAAACCACAATTGTATTGCAACTTCTGAGTTTCGCTTACAAAGCGTCGTATATTTTTATATTCTTCATTGAGATTGCAGCGCACGACTAACTCTTCCTGTCCTAATTATGCGAATGTTACCTCTCACAGCTACGTCAACTTTTGATCTGCCGTGTTTTCCAGTTTCCCCAGTTGAGATTGCTCAACCTTATGCGAGCAGTTCAGAGTAAATTCTGTTCAAAATGGATACTCTAAAGTAAATGGCAATTTAAGGACCAACTTTTGGTTGTAAAGATGATATTTATATTTCACATTTGATTGACCCCAGACAAGTGTGCCACGGTTCTTTTGGCACATAATCTGGACTCAAAATATAATTAAATACAATAATCTGTTCGGACTTATGAAACAGACAAACTAATGAACAAACAATTTAGTATATATGCATACGTTTGTATACCTGACCTACCATTTCCCAGCGTGCAGCTTCATACAGAATGATAAAATGTTACTTTCACATAAAACTCTCATTGCATATTAAACGAAGTATTTGGATTTTCACGGTAAGAAGAACAGGCTTTAGATTTCAAAGATACAAATTACATAAGTTGAAGAGCTGCGAATGCAAACTTTCTCTCTTACCATTATTTATGAAAGAATAATTTTTCTTCATGAAGGTATGAAAATGCACTGGAACAACCCAAATGCATATATTCTTTTACACTGAAACGAACTCTGAAAGAAACAACAACTTTGAATTCTGAATTATGGAGTTTGTGTAATAAAGCTTTTTATAAATATAGATCCTGTATTTTAGAGTAGAAAGCTTGGATTAGTCGATTCGATTGTTCAGAGGCACCCGGCCCTCTTGATGGTCTTGAGTATGGGTTCTACTCCTTGGGAGATCGCTAATTCCCCACTGTTTGTTTACATTTTAGTGCGATGGAAATGTTTGAGATAACCGACAAAGAGCACTAGACAACTGTTTCGTCCTGTTTGGGACTCGTCAGCAGTGCGTACTTTTTTGTCCCTGTCCATTCACGCAAGGTGATAACCGTCGACCGTGTAGCTTAAGGGTAAGGGTTTGAAGGCCCAAACCGAAGGTTAGCGGTTCCAGTGTGACGAAACAGCCATCCAGTGATCTTTGTCAGTTAGCACAAACATTTCCATCGCATTTAAATAGATCCTATATCTTTATTCTGTTTGCTCTGAACAGGCCCATTCTATACTATCCACATTTTGACCAATCCGTAAAACCGATTCAGCGGTTAATAGAAGATTCGCGTGTTACTACAAATATTTTTTCCCATACTCACCTCCAATTGATTATTTTTATTTTCACCCTTTTCCTGGGACCATGAGTAGATTCTAATGTTAGGTCTAATGTCAATGTATCAGAAGAGCAGTGCTTATAAGCTTTACAGGTTTCTCGATCACCAGGACGCAACCAGTGATGTTTCTTAAATTTATTACTTAAAACCGGATCGTAAAATTATTTTCAGAGTGACAATCTCGCTAGCCATGTTGCTTTAGGCATTTAATTATCCGAGTTTGAGTTATTCCTATTTGTTTAGCATATACTGAGGCGAACAGTTTTGTGCGTGTTGTGTCCGTAAACCATCCTCATGCAGTCAGAATTAACTACGTGCAATCAGTTGCCCAAACTAATCGGTTATGCTTTTATCAATCAAGATCTGTCAGAAATGATGTGTGCGTAGAAAACAATTCAAATATCTATATGCAACATTCGAGGACGAGATTGGTTGTTCCCCTAGATCAAAACACAACAAAATATGGTCATGAGTCTTCAGTCCGTGAGCAAAATAAAAATATCTATCAAGGAATAATCGTGTAAAAATGGTGATGCAAATACGTTTTCAGTTTGCAGATAATTCTTTATAATTTTCCTGGACAGCAGCAAATAGTTCATATCGGTTCTTATCTGTGAATGTCTTACTATATCGTTCAGATTATTTGTGGAGTGTCAATACACTTCAGGGTGATGAGAGTGAGAAACATCATTTTCAACAGAATAAATCAAAGGTTTGTTCCACTCTATTATTCAATAAACCAGTGTTCTTTTACTGATATTTTGTTTTAATTTTTCCCAGATTTTCAATTTTTATAGGGTTAGGTGAGTTTTCAATCCGGAAGTGAACAAAATCTCCACAGTGAAATCCGTTCGAAACCTAACTGCGGTTTTATAGAAATCTGGATCTAGGAATAGTGTGTCTTTTCTTTCTGACGTTCGACTAAATCTCACCCTAATTATCCTTCTCGTTAAGACCGGTGAACTAATGCTTGCTTTCTAACCAGTAGATAGATGAACATCAGTAACAAAACCACTTATATTTTATCTCCGGCTTGCCATTCCAACACGTTATGATGAAGCTTCCTTTCATTTGACTGACCAGCTGTAAAGCTAATTAATTAGCGAGCAGCGGGCTAGTCAACGGTCAGCAGTTTATTAAAAGCACTGATTTCAAACTATTTGACTCACCAGTTAAAACTGATTTTAGTTCCGGTTTCATTTCCATCTCTTGCGATCCGTAAGGATAACAATTTTGAGGCTGCGTCTGTCTAAACACAAAATTGTCTACTAATGCGCAGCCTCGTAGTTGTGCCGCATCCAATGAATTTGGGGTCTTGACTGGCTCATCCGTACAATTCACTCCGCCATCAAACAGGTGCATCCCCACAATGTTCGTGCTGGTTGAAATAACTGGATGAACACCCATCTGAGTTTTGAATCCAAGGCCAGAATTATGCATTCTTTGTATATTTTCGCTACCGTTACTCATAACGGCTCCAACGCCACTTTCAATACCATGGTTGACATCTAAGTCACTAATATTCCAATTGGGAAATTGTTTTGATTCTAAACGATTCAAAACTTTTAAAGTGTTGGCTGCTTGGCCGTAGGCGACCGGTGCATGCTCTTGCAAATAGTTCATAACACTCGGTGTTGTTTCGACCGTTGAGTTCATTACACTGGCTACCAAATCCTGTGGGTGCGTTTGGGGAAATGTGTCAGAAACCGTTTCGAACGAAGGTAAACCAGGAATAGCATTCAATGGTGTATAATTTCCGGTGACATTGGACTCTAGCACATCCGTGACTGGAACACTATCATTGGTACGCGTGTCGGCGTGGGAATGTTCTTGCATTTGCGCATCTGATTCGGTTGGCAGCTGCCTGGCGCGCTGGGATGCTAATGCCGCTCTGTCATTGGTCAAATAGGAGATTGACAATTGTTCGTCCAGTTCGGATACGCTGATACGATTGGTCGATTGGGTGTGAGAGTTTTGTGAAGATTCTGGGGCAGACCTGGACGAGAATGTAAGGTTATGCGGACTGTCTGGCGGGCTGTGAATTGACTTGAAGCTCACACGTGTTGCGCCTGTCGACCCCGAGATTGATTGGTCATTGGATGAATGCACGGTGTTCCCAGGAGATGGAGCTGGCAAGTCAGACAGTTCCATTACAATTGGTTTAGTTTCCGAGGTCTCGGAGGAGAGATTATGAATAAGAGCAACAGAGTCAGATCCATTGACGTATGTGTTCTGTCCAGCAATGTTAATCATGAATGAACGGTTCAGCAGGTCGTTACTGCTTTCGTTTTGGTAGTAGTATCCATTGTTCCCGTTTACGATCGGTATCGAAGTGCTGGTACAACCGGACAAGGTTGTGTTTAACTTACTGCAACCAATAGACGAACTCGATAGGTCAGTGGCTGATAGACAACTTGTTTCCAATTCGTCTAAGTTGACGGAGTGCGTTGAATGCATTCTGGTCATCGCTGAGTCCACATAATATA